TTCCCAACTCCCAGTCCATGGATGGCACTAGGCAGGGTGAGATTAAAATTTGTAGGTGTGGCTTGGTGGTCATGTGATTGGGTGAGCTTGGGTTGCTGACTATGCGTGGCTTGGTGGTCACATGACTGGCTGGGCATGGCTTGTATGTAAATATTGTAAATATTTGTATAAATATTGAATGTTTTATTTTAAAAAAGAGCAACTTCTACCCAAAACCAGGCAAAGCAGGCAGGCAGATTAAGTTGCTTGCAGAATCACAGATTCACTTACAGATCTACCTTTCTGCAATCTGCTGCCTGAGTCTGCACTGAAAAATAGAAGCTTCAGTCCTAAGGAAGGTTCAATTCTGCTCTCAAGCTACTTCTCTCCCCCCCAACCCCCCGAATACCACCCCTGACTGGGCCTCAGAGAAGCCTCCTGGGCAAAGGCAAAGCAGTACAACGGTGATTTAGATAAGTTAGAAAGCAAGAAATCCCACGATTTCCTGTTTTCAGGCTAATCAAAATTGTGCAGCACAGCTGATAGTCGGAACAGCTGATCATCGGGAGGGAGGAAAAATAGCAACTTAACAAAATTTAGGCGAAGGTACAATGGAGGCAAGTTGGATGGGCGCATGCAAGATAAGATGTGACTGGGCAGGGAGGGGAGGGCAGGGGCCAGCCAGTGACACGATTTGCCAGTTCTCTGAACTACGCAGAATCCTAACAACTGGTCTATAGAACCATTCTACCAGTCCAAACAGGTAGAATCCCACCCCTGGCACCAGGCCATGACATGCCAGAAACTGGGCCACACAAACAAGTGAAGCCCTATCTGCAGTATGCAGGCACCATGCAAAACCATGCCCCTCCAATCTGTGGAAAAGCCTCTCTCCATGGAACCAATCCCTGGTGCCCAAAAGGTTGGGGGACACTGGTTTGCCCTTTTCCTTCACCTTCAACCAATCCCTGGTGCCCAAAAGGTTGGGGAACGTTATTTGCCCTTTTCCTTCACCTTAGATACTTTTAAAAAAAACTTACATCAATGAGCCTGCTAATGACTGATTTATGGGGTCCTTGGTGATCTCTTTCTTACAGATGTTTCTAGGAAACATCATCAGTATTAGAAGGGAGTGAGAGTTGCACTCATTTTATATACTAGTGGCTTGCTCTGTCAATGTTAGTGGGAGTGGTCTTGGTGGCTGCATGATTAGACTGCTGTATACTGTTAGCTTATTTGCCTGCAATGGTAGTTCGTTGATTTGGGTATTGTTTACTTCTTGATTGTTGGTCTTTGTTGTAGATGATTCCTCTTTTTTCACCTGGGGCTGCTAGGTTTTTTTGTTTACTTAGGATGTTTTGGAGCGCTTTAGCTGATTTATGTGTTACACTGATGCCATATGGTTGTAATAGTAGCTTGGTGCTTTTGGGCTGATTTGTCAGAGTGTCAAGCCTCTAGGACTTTATAAATCCCGTTTTAGATATAAGACTTCCTACTCGATAGAATAGTATCCACTATTACATGAATAGATATAAATTACTCTCAAGGCAATTCTAAATATCACAAAAATATCATGTTCAGTCTATATGTTTCTATCAAAAAATTAAAAATAACATAGTAATTGCAGCACTAATTAAATGCAAAATGTCATTATGTCAATTATATTTTCTCCTACAAAATAAGGAATAAACATTACAATGTTGCAATTCAGTGCAGAATAACCAAGTTATCTTCAGCATACTCCCTAGTCTAAAATAAAATGTCATTTTAGACGAAAATGTTCAGTTTAGAGGAAAAAGGCTATACCTTTAATTCAAGAAAAAGACAGCATACAGCAGTAATTCAGTTCACAATAATCTAATCAGGATGAATAAAGTGGTGAGTTTTTGTGAATAGAGGTGATTTTTTCTATGATGGAGGTTACATCTGTTGTTTTTTTTACAATTCTTTCTTGTTTTTCTTCAAAATTGGTTTTGGGGAAGATTTTAAGGACATGTGAAGGACTAAAGGATTTTGAGAACATGTAAAGGAAGAGAACAAGTCTGCCTCTAGAGTTTCTTTACATCACATTACATTCAACCCTTTGTTATTATAGTCTGGCACAAGTTTATGCAGAGTATTTATTCTTCTTTGGAGGGCAGGTGGTGGGGAAGTTATTCAAGGATTATTTTTTATTTACTTAACAAGTAATTAAAGAATGAAATACTGAAATAGTGATTGAGTACACTATACACTAAAGTACAACTTGCAAAAAATGAATATCTGCATAAAGATAAATGATAGACAGGCAGACAGGCAGGTGATTGATAGATGATTGATGCACAGGTATGGAATAGGTGGTGAATAGGATGTACCTGGCTGAATAATAGTAATTGTGAGAGGGATCTTGGAGTCCTAGTCACTTAAATATGAGCCAGCAACAGCTGCCAAAAAACCAATGAAGTCCTAGGCTGCATTAACAGAAGGACAGAATCAAGATCATGTGATGTTAGTGCCACTTTATAATGCCTCAGTAAGACCATACTTGGAATATTGCATCCAGTTCTGGTCATCATGATATAAAAAAAGATGTTGAAACTCTAGAAAGAGTGCAGAAAAGAGCAACAAAGATGATTAGAATACATATGAAGAACAGCTGCAGGAATTGGGTATATCTAGTTCAATGAAAAGAAGGATGAGTGTGATTGTGACACGATAACAGTGTTCCAATATCTAAGGGAGGAAGTCACAAAGAAGAGGGAGTCAAGCTATTCTCCAGAATACCTGAAAGAAGAACAAGAAGCATTGAATGGAAAGTAATCAAGGATAGAACCAACCTAAAAATAAAGAGAAATTTGCTGACAGAACAATTAATCAGTGGAATGGCTTGCCTTCAGAAGTTGTGGGTGCTCCATCACTGGAAGTTTTTAAGAAGAGATTGGATAACCACTTGTCTGAAATGGTATAGGATGAGCAGAGAGTAGGAGTAGAAGACCTCCAAGGTCACTTCCAACCCTGTTATTCTGTTATGCTACATAATACATTAAACCTGATAAGTAAATATTTTGACTTTTAAAAAAAATCTCTTTGTTATAGCAACAAGAGATTGAGTGGAAAGTATCTATTGTTAACCACAACAATATTTTCATAATGATTAGTAGTTTTCAATAGTCTTTACATAAAATGACATCAAATATTTCTAGGTACTGGTTTCCCACATGAGGATTTTTTAGTCGTGCTGAAAATATGCTATAACAGTGCATTAGATCAACATTTAAAACAACTTTATAACAACTTTCACTCATTATTTTTGAATCTGAACAAATAAATGAAATATTATTATTTCAGTCATCAATCACTAAGAATATAATCTGAACATTGTGCTTATAACTCATGGTGTTTCTTGAACATTAGGCCAAATTCAGTATAGTACAATCTATCTGTGGTTGAATGAAAATTGCCCTTCATTAAAAAAAAATCCTCTACTTTATGTAGTTAATCAATTTTTATATCACTTTGAAATCTGTTCCTTGTGGTATGTGCTGTTAAGACAATAACTCATTGTAATTATGAGCATACTTATTAAGCATATAGAAAATGACATTATGTATTAAATTTTGCTAAGCAGTATCACTTACACCTCAATGAAAGTTAATTAACATTGTGAAGAGAACAGGGTGAGTTAGGATTGGTCAAATTTATCTTCTCATTGTATATATGTGCAAGAATATTTTTGTACAGGTTTTTTGGGGGAGGTAGGGTTATGCTTTTGTTTTATTTTATTTGCTTGTTTTACAGTTTTGTACTTTATTTTCTACTATAAAACAATATTATTTTTTAAAAAAGAATAACAACACTTTTAAAAACTTGGTTGGATTCAGATTGGTAATGTTTCCTACCCACCCTCAAATTGTCTGTAAACTATAGTAGCATAAAATGTGCTGACTTATTGCCAAAATCCTATCCTGCCACCACTGCAATGTTCCAGCTTGCTGGCAAATGATAGTATCTGGATGTATTGAGTTATTGTTTGCAGCAATTCTCATCTCCAGTCACACTCAAACAGCAAGAAAAGATCTACACCAAGCAATGCAAGGATGAGGCAGGCTAGCTCTTGTTTCTTTCTCTTCCCAGTATTTTTCCACAAGTTCAGACTCTGCTTTTTTTTTTTTTTGGATCAACCAAGTGATGACTTTACTCTAGCTCACATCACTAAATCAATGTAAACCAGGTATTCTGCTTAATATATTTTGTTGATGAGAAATGAGATGATTAAGAGAGCCTCCCAGGAAACAAAAAAATCAAAACCAGGAATTTCAGAACAGGGCGGGTGTTTATGATTATTTTTGTAGCATCAAATCAGTTGGGGTAAAAATGAGATAAGGGGAAAAAGAATGTACAAAAGTCCTGGTGATGGGGAAAATTAAGACAGGAAGAAGGGACAAATAATGTGTTCAGGTGGCTTCAGCTCTGCTTCAGACTGTAGGCCCTCTATGTTCTTTCTATTTAATGTTATATTTGTAGAATGAATCAAGCAGGTCATTCTTCCCCAACAAGCATGTGACAAACAGAACAGAGACTTTGGGTTGGCAGGGAAGACAGATGCTTAGCCTTGCCTCCAATTCTAGCCTTAGGAAGTGATTAAACAGGAAGATACCCAGGGGTTGGAAAGCTATGGAGTTTTGCTCAATGTGTTTGTCCAGCTGGAATCGGATACTCAGACAGATGTCTTCAGTCTAAGGCTAAACCAGCCAGCTCCTCACCACATAAAACACACATAAACTCAAAGGGCATACTTAATGAACCATTAGGTATTTTTCTGCTGACAGTTTTCTATGTTTCTATATACAAACTTGTTAAGAAATAATCAACAAAATGCATTTTTTTTTTGTTATTGAAATGGAGACCCATTTCATTAACTCTGTTTGTTATGCTGTCAATTATGTAGATTTCTCCATCATTTTGATTTTTTTTTAAAATTAGTGAATGATCTCTAAAATACAAAAATTCAAAACCAGAGGAGTGTCAGGTCTAAAACTTACCTGAAAAATTCCATGAAAGAAAAGCCATAGCCATGCTGTTCTGCAATACCTGCACAAACAACATTTGCAGAGGCTCCAATCAATGTCCCATTACCTGCAATTCAATAAATAACAAGTAAAACAATCGAGCAGATATTTGGGGGTCTTGCTACTTCTAGACTAAATGTAAGTGAGGAAAGGAGAGTCATCATTTCACATCCACCTGAAAAGAAATTGACAGAACAATAACTTCCCTGCCTATAAACAGTTGCACCTTTTCAAATGCAGCCTGTCTTTGTGCTCCTATTGTGAATGAGACAAGAGACAGTGAGAGAAAGAAAAAACGATGGCACTGTGTTGTTAAGATGAGGCATTCAAAGCAATTTGCTGATTATTTCTTTCAAATTCAGGAAAGTAACATTAAGATAAAATGAAAAGCATCGGAAAAAGGCATCACTATTGACAGGTGGAACAATGGAAACAGAGGGGAGTCCTTTATTTCCCTAGAAAGTTATGTAACAGTAGCACAATAAGTATCTTTAAAACATAAGATACCCATTGTATCTTATACAATGAGACTTTTAAACCTACAAACACACACACATATGGGTACACATATGAATGGAAATCAGGAATTTATCCTTCTGCCACAAAATGGAAGAATGCTGAAAATTTAACAGGTTGCAATGTTTAACTCTATAATTTCCTTCCCTTCTTAGGTTAAGGACCTTCTCTTGAGAAAAATGCATACATGTAAAAATCATAGAATTTCTAAAGAATTTTTTAAAAATGTATGTATATGCAATATATTAGTGAAAGATAATTTCTAAATTAATGAAAAATAATAGTTTTCAATCTCTAAACTTCTGATGAGCTGTATCTAAATGTTGTTTCATCTTTTTAATAATAGATTGCAGTAAACTGAGAAAAATGTAATCTGAATTAAGGGGCAGGCCATGATTTTGACAAGAACAGAGAATATAATAAATTCACAGATGTGTCTGTTGTGATGTATGCAAAAAGGGTGGGCTTCATTGTTATGGCCATCACTTTGACTTTTAGATCCCCTCCCTGTAGACAACCCTGGAAACTTAGGAATTGTGGCATGAAATACAGCAAAAGCCTAGAAAGGTAAGCTGTGGCAATGTTTTCTAAAATGGAGAAACAGTGTGTGAACACAGAGATAAGCAATGGATTATCCATGGCGAACTATAACTGTGATAAGTCTGTGACAGTTTCAGAATGGGATTAGTCCCAACAGTAACTGAAAATCAATTACTGTACATCCAATTTGGTTTGGTTTTTCACATCCTGTTGTCACTGAGCAGAATTTGAGTGTTCTTCCTCTATAAACTGGAAAAAAGACACCTTAGAGCATTCTCTCCATTGTTTACTTAAGAAATTGAGACTCACTGAAGTAGAAAAACATTAGGTGTTTTGCACAACTAAAGCCTGTACAGTTCAGAATGTCAACATGGATTTTGTGTACATGTGTGAATAGGTCTTTATATTATAATGCTGAAGCTGTCAGAGAGCTATGACTGTGACTTAAAAAATGAAGCAAAAGACTATGTTCTTCAAATGTTAATTTCATCCCAATTTTCACACTCAGCATAATTATACCTGAACAGAAAGAAATGATACTTCTTTTGGATCATCCTTAAATCCTAGATTAAACCCTATTACATCTTTTAAAAACCCCTCACCTCTTTGTAATCTGTGCAGGCTTCAATCCCATTCACACACTCAATTTTGAAATCTTTGGATGTTTTTTCCAGCGTTTGAAATTATTCTCTAATTTTATTTCTCTGAGATCATTTTCTAAAGCCACTAACTGATCAAATGGATTTTACTTGACTGGGAATGGGGCTACAGTTGCGGATTTTGCTGTATTAACCAATCAAAGGCTGGAAAACACCCTTATATACTATTTCTTATACTTGGCTTCACATTTGTCAGACCATGGGGAAAAGAACCAGAACTTTCCAGACACAGACACTGTTCCTCTCCAAACCAGTGAGATTTCTTGTTACAGTGTTTTTCCAGTAAATAGTTTACACTGATTTCTATGCAGTGGCCTTAGTTTAACAAGCCATATAATCATATACTTTTACATGCAGCTTCATGAAAGCCTACTTCCCTTATTCAAAGAGGCATTCCTTATCACAACTTGCTCACTTGGTTAGAGAGCTAATTTCACTTTTAAGTTTGTTTTTAGACTAGAGAGGAGGAATGAAAGAGAGGAAAACCATTATTCCTGAGCATTTTAGAATTCCAGAACTTTGATCAATCTTGCCTGACTAGTTCCTGTTCCTTCCAGATGTTTCAGTGGTTTCCACAAATTCACACATTCTGCAGATCTCTCTTCCTCATCTTGCCTGCTCTTCCTAATGTATACACCTGCCTTGTATATATTACTACAAGGCAGGTGTGCCTGGTCACAGGTGACTTAATTAGGCAATAAGATTATCAATGTCTACATGATTCTATGTACACACGTAGCACATAACCACACACAAAAAGCATAACACTAATTTGCTACATTCATGTTTACCAGGGTATCAAATCCTAGTTATAATGCTGAGTTCATGATGGCTTTCTCTGATTTCTTTAATACTTAAAGTACTACACATTTCTTGAGAGTTTATTAATACTATTATATCTATTTAGGTACTAGTAAAAAAATACCAATCAAAATAAAGCATAACACAATTCAATGACTAGAGACAATAAATACAATGGGAACAGTTTGACGGAGAAGAATAGGATTTTATACACAAGTGTGTATCTTTAACCCTAAATTAACTAGTCCCCATCAAATATAATGCCTTAAAACTGAATTACCAGTCCAAACAATGTTTGTCCAGGGAACTGGAGAGAAGTATTCACTTGTATACCATTCTATTCCAAATGACTTGTGTTAACAATGATAACAGTTCAACAGTTCAGCTGTTATCATTGTTAACACAAGTCATTTGGAATGGAATGGTATATAATATTCCAAATAACTTGTGCTAACAATGATAATAGTTGAAAACAATTCAATACAAACTTAGTGAGTTATTTAAATAATAATAATCATAACCTTCTGCCCCCAAGGAAGATGTAAACAGTCAAGTAAATGCAAATTCCCTCTGAAATAGTATACAGTCAAGTTTGCAAAGCTTTCTGAAGAATAGCGAAGTAGGGGCAGTCTGAACATCAGAAGAGATTATTCCAAAAGGTTGGAATAATGACCAAGAAAACCAGTTCCTCCCATAGACTCAGAGGGAAGAAATCCCAAGTACCCCTTATTAAGCTGAATACACAAGATGGACAAATTCACTTTGTGAGAGATTTCCCACGGTTGGAGTAATTTGCACCAGTTCTGCAGATTTATCATAACACAAACAATGTCGCCTTCATCTTTTGTCTATGTGGAGACACTTGATCCTTCTGATTTCATTTTTTGGTCAAGGTATGTTAACAAATGGCAACTATTCTTTGCTGAAATTGAACATCATTCGAAAATGCAACACAGTGCTGATTTTTATTGAGGCCAAAACAGGAAAGTTTCTTACAGGAAATCCATTGGGGTGGCTAAGTAATATGGCAATAATTTTGAATTCTTTAATATCTCTCTGTAAATCCCTTCCTTAGTTAGGTTTAGTCTACCAAATTGTCACTGTTACAGCTTCTGCATAGTCACTATTTGTAGAACAGCATAAAGATACATTAAAGAAATTACAGTTATAAATTCAATGTTGTTTTTATAAATTTCAGATAAACTCTTTGTGGAATTGCTTGCTTCACTAGTAACATTTGATGAAAGATTTATATTTCAAACTGAAATCTCACCAGTTAAACACTGAGTTATAATCTATCTAACAGAACACATTTTCAGAGGGATTAAATTTAATTACAAAGTCCCTTCTTAATAATAATTTTTATTAAAGTTTAAAAATAAAAGATAAAAACTAATGCAAACTAGGTAAAATACAAAAAGAAAAGAAAAAAACATTAAAAGTACAAGAAGAAAATAGAAATGAGGGGAAAGGAAGAACAGAATAGAAATATGGGAAAAGAATATGTACTGATGTATATATGTGTGTGTGTGTATGTATATGTGTGTGTATATCTATCATACATACACACACACAAACAAAATTATATATATATAATTTGTTCCTTCTATTTTTAATTTCAATAACATATCACCTTCTCTAACATTTCAACCTAAAATGTCTTCATACCATACCCCATCTTTTATCTATTAATAATAAAGCCTTATTATTGAGTCTTAATCAGCAAAACTAATTCTGTTTTCACTTTATCATTATGGGGTACTGAGTGTAGATTAATGAAAAAATGAATTTCAACAACTGTAGAATCAGGCTGCTGCACAAAAAAAAATTGATAAAGTGAAAGGGATCTGAATACTTTCTGAATGCACTGTATAGAAATTTAACCCCATCATATAATGTCCCATATATTAATTTCTTATCATCTTATCGTATCTTTTCAGAAAGTCCTTCACAAATTTAACATTTTCCTTCAGTTTTAATACCATAGTTTATGACTTTTCAATTTACTTTAAAATAAATAAAATATGTTTATTGAAATTATTTAAATCTGTTAATTTAACTGAAAAAAACAGCTTCTTACCATATCTTATCTATAAACAAATCTTTAAAGCCTCAACATTCAACAACAGCAAGAGCCGTGGTGGTGTAGTGGTTAGAATGCAGTACTGCAGGCTAATTGCTGGCAGTTCGATTCTCACCGACTTAAGGTTGAATCAGCCTTCCATCCTTCTGAGGTTGGTAAAATGAGGACCCAGATTGTTGGGGGCAACAAGTTTGTAAACCACTTAGAGAGGGCTGTAAAGCACTGTGAAGCAGTATATAAGTAAGTGCTATTGCTATTCAGTCCCAATCAAGAAAAACCCATTTAAAGATTCTGGGTGAGGAAAAAGCATTGTATATATTATAATCTTGGTCAAATAAGCAAGCCTTATAAATCCTGTTTTTACTTTTGATAGTCTTGATGTTTGTTCCTTTTAAGAAGTGTCTCAGAAAGCAATTTCTTTTTATTCTATCTTTATCATTCTTTATCTTTTCACAAAGTAATAAAATTAGAATGCCTTTTTGGGATTTTGAGAATGAGATAAAGGGTAGACCCTTCCCCAAAATTGCAGAATCAATACTCCTTATCAGATATTAAGCATATCAAGGAATGTTTTGGGGTCTGCAAATGCAGAGAGAACTAATTTCTGCCATAAACGAAATTGAGATAAAATAACTCAGTACAGAATTTTCCTATCCCCATGCAATTTTCAACATTGGAACTTTCCAGCATAAATGATTAGATTTACTGCATGTCTAATGACAAATCAGAGATTAGAAAGGCAGTCTTTCAGAACACTAAAATGGAAAATGGAAATTGACATTTTAAGACTAGGACCATACTAGATCCAAGACAGAGGGGACTAAAGAGGAAACAAATTTAGTAAGTCTTTTTTAATAAATCAACATTTTATTATGGTCATTGGTCAATCCAAAGTAAGATAGCAAAGTAAGTGAAATGGTAAAAAAAATTGAAAAATCTTGATAAAGCTTAGAGCTTGAATAATTTGCCATTAACCCATTTTCAGAAATGTACTTTTTAAATCTGAAAAGAAAGAAAAAATGGTTAAGAGAAATAATAAAAAGGAAATATAAAATATGTCAGAGCTACCTGATCTGTGAGTAAAAATAGAAATGACATGAATCAATCAAATATTGGACAATAAGACTACAATAAGGCATGCATCAGAGCTTCAGCTTCTCCTGAACCACAAAGACAGAGCCAATCTCCCATAGGGATATTATTAATTTTACCTTCCAAAAGTAATATATAAGGAAGCCAGAATAAAGACCTTATGTTTCCTTGAAGTGGTTGGGTTGTGTAAGATAGCGGTTCAAAAGTTCTCTGGGGGTACTGATCACTTAGCCAGATCATGTTGATGCTCACAATCTAAAGTTGTTAATCAAATAACACATTTGGCTTTTTAAAAACCTATAGATAAAAAGACATTTAAAAAGAAATCCAGATAAGGCCTACTTGGTTTCTAGATTTTGGTGCCAAGGAGACTGAAAACTTGTCAATCACAGTGATAGGTTCTAAGCCTACTAGGAAGAAATTTAATTGAAGCCAAAATTAATCAGTAAAATCCAGGCCTTGGCTTCAAACTTAATTAGGCTGCTTCCAATCATAGTAACGCTATTGAGAAGACAGCCTGAAGGAAGTCTGGAAACACTGTTTTCAGCTTAATCAAAAACCTGGTCCTGAATAAAGCAATTAGCTCCAACATTAGCAGCAAAGATTTTGACATCTACTAGAATATCTAAATTCACACTGAAAAAGTTGAAAATAGCTACTTCACTTATCAGAGTGTTATCAGTGACAAGCTATTTTTTGCCCCAAGGCCAAGCTGCTGAAACACCCTTCCTACATATTTATAACATGATATCTGGTCTATAATGTTGCCATCTGTTCATCTTTTATCTTTTGGTAAACACCATTTTGATCTTGATGTATCTTTCTAAAATTGCTCACAACAGGATGCAAGAAAACAGGGGGGAAATATTAACTACCTCAAAATGTAAAGATAGCAATTAGATAAATTCTTAAAGAAGCAACTGAAAATCTTTCAGACTCAAATCCCAAAAGAAAACTTTAATTCTTTAGAAATTATGCATGAAGAAGGAGCAATCTCCAAGTAATCAGAAAGAAATAGGATCTGTTCCATTCCACTACAGAAGTCCTCTATATATGATTGATTTTTAGATACAAAATTTAAGATTATTTGGGGGGTAGGGGGAAGAGCCAATCTATCTTCTGCAAGAAATTGACAAATTTGCGTGTTACCCTATGCATGGTAAAGCAGACTCAAGGAGTCAACAACAACCAATAGGTCTCTTTCTGGAAAGTGGCCACTTTAAACAGCCTAACAAATCTCTGGAATTAAATTAAAAGAGATACCATAAATCAATTCACTTATGATCAAAACTGTAGACGTATCCATAATCTTTTCTCAAGGTGTCAAGCATCACGCAAAAATAGCAAGTTCCAATAAAAAGTTTGGTACCAGGGTTACAAACATAAAAAAACCACAAGTCTTCCTGAAGAGAGATGGGTGATCTAGAAATATGAAATATAAGTAAATAAACAATTCCAAGTGTCTCGGTTCGCATTATAGCAGCAGCAATAGCACTTAGACTTATATACTGCTTTACAGTGCTTTATAGCACTCTTTAAGCGGTTTACAGAGTTAGCCTATTGCCCACAACAATCTGGGTCCTCATTTAACAACCTCAGAAGAAAGGAAGACTGAGTCAACCCTGAGCTGGTCAAGATTGAACAGCTGGCAGTCAGCAGAATTAGAATTGTAATATTGCACTCTAACTACCATGGTCCATAAGAGATTATCAATATCAAGGATAGGCTATTAAGCTCATTGTTTCATCAAGGCTTCAATATGCTTAAATATTTAAGTTCTCTGTACTTCCCACCAACTGCAATTTAGGTTCCGTAGCCATGATTTTGCTGAATCCTGATGCTGCAAAGCTTCAGGACCATTATCAGTTTCCTTTGATAAGCAATCAATTATTGAGCTAACTTCTGCCTCTCTACAAGTTGGTTTTAGTCTACTTAGGCTGGGAATTCTTTTCTTTTGTTCAGATCAAAATTTGTGGCATCAGAGTAAAGAAGTACTAGCAGAGAGACATAAATCCTCTGCTTCTGAAATTTTAGATTCCATAGAATCTAAAATGGTTTCCTTGGATAAAGATGTCTGATTGAGTCCTGATTAGTTCCTATTTGAGAGATCAATAAAAATGGATGAATACTGAATATGAAAATGGAAGAATTACTGTCATGAGCTTCTGCAAGAGGACCCTGGAGGCCAAATGATGACACCATCATCATCATCATGCATGTCCCACAATTTAGATATTTGTATTAAATATTATAATGCAATATGCAATTGCAGCATCAGGATCATCACCATTTTTGTCCTTGTGGTTTGTTATAGATGTCACTGATCTCTAGGTCAATCAGCTTGAAAAGCATCTTCCTCATTCTCACAAAAAGCATCTTCCCCAAAACAGATCTAAAAACACATTGGTGAAATTATGAGAATGGGGGGTAAAAATCTAAATATCTATTCAGATATTGTTCCAGCATGCAAGATCCATATAATCAGTGGTCTCGCAATGTACTAGTTCAATTTTTCAAGAATGAGGTGTAGAGGTAAAGACCTATATTCTGGTTAATGAATCAAAACTATAACCATATCACCTCAAATGTGGACAGACCTGATTGCAAACTGAACAGTGCTGAAAAAGACACTGTAGATGACTGTTCCAATGATGTTAATAATATATGGTCAAAACCACTTTAATACTTAATACATATAATTATGACAGTTGTATAAAGTATGGTGTTTGAATGAGGGCAGTGCTAATGATGAAGTCTACCAGCTCCTAGTAGAGAAGAACATTCATTTATGTTGTATCATAAAATGACTGAGAAATAACTCTGCACTATGGCGAGGAATGCAAGGAAGAAAAACATTGTGAATATCCAGTCAATTGGGCCCCAGGCAGTTTTAAGCAGAAAAGATATTAGGGCTGATGCCGATGACAATTACCTAGTTAAGAATACTGAAATAATAGTTGCTTGTAATAACTGCTGTGTTGCACCTGAGAAAGCTAAAGCAGACAAGATTGAAATAGGAGAAGACAGCCATAGGTTAGCATGTGCTACCTAAGGAACCATCTGCATTCAAGAGGCAAATGTTCCAGATTATAGTCTTCAGAAACACAGATTATACTCTTCAGAAACAGAACTAATGAGATGGCTTGCAACAATCGAAAATATTATCTACAACATCAGGATGAGAGTGGCCAATACCGATGGAAATTGTAGAATGATACTATCATTAATACTATTACTAATACCATCATTGGCCAGACCTGTGAAATCAAGCATGAAGTCAATTTCAGCCCCATTTTCTAAAGAATTACTATTTCTTTGAGGATATAAAAATACTGATCACATGTGCTAACAGGTTATCTTTTTTAAAAAATTAATATTTTTAAATGTGCAATTTGATTATTTATGGATCACATTTTAGTTAACTACAAAAGTGTTTAATCTGACTGAGAAATTAAAAATCACAACCTTAAATTTAGTGTGTTGCTTTAGCTCTCACTGATAATATACATTTCTTCAAACTATTATCACTGCTTACCTCCAAGACAGGCACCTATGGCTAATGCAAAGATGAGTGGTTTTACAGGTAAGTTAACCTCAGGATCTTGACTTAAATTGAGAAGTACAGGAATCTACAAAAGGTACATTAAAATAATAAATAGTAAGAGAAACAGTAAGATTGAGATTAAAGATGATAATCAGTTACATTGAAAACAAGAAACTTGGTTTCTAACATCTTTTAAAAGTGCTTGGTACAATTATCCTGGGATGAGGTGCCCTTCATCTAAGTACTTTATGTATGGAAATTAGCATAAAGGGAGAGGCTATTCTATTTTCCTTGAGAACTGCAGGGGCTCTTAAAAATAATCTCACCAAAACCACAAAAGCATACAAAATATTACATCCAAAGATTGATCAGACTGGATTTTTGCCAAAAAGGCAGTTAAGGGACAATGTGAGAACTACAGTATTTTCAATGTCACTGAGTATTTACAATACCACAAGGAGAAACAAACAGAGCTGATATTTTTGCACAAAGAGAAAGTTTTACAACTTAAATTGGGTTGTTATGTTTTAAGTTTTGAAAAATATGGACTTTGGGAAGAAATTTATTGAAGGGACTAAGTCTGTTTGTGCAACTCAGCAAACTAACATCATTGTCAATATAGGTTTGATTAAATTGTGAGAGATATATAAATGGGTACAAGGGAAGGGTGCCTTTTATTTTTTATTTTAGTCAAAATTTTGACTAAATATATTAGACAAGATGAGAAAACGTCACATCTGATTTTTTTTAAAGAAATGTATTAATTAATGATGAATTTGTGTGTGTGTGTGTGTATATTTATGTATGTGTTATAGTTTTCTTCAGTGGCAGATGAAGTCTGAATGATCTTGATCTGAAGATGTTCTACAGTGTATTTTGCATTCTAGATAACCCCCCTTTTATCCCTTTTGACTTTAATCTCTTATTTCTGCCCAACAAAAGACAGAATGAATGGAGGGAATACATTGTACAGTGTTGGCAATAACAATTTTAAACCTTTGTAAAAAGTATTCTTTAATATTCTGGTTAGGAGTAGACATACAAGAAATTTCATAATTATTGTTATAGCTGATTTAATATAACATTATCTAGGTCACAGTAATAAAATTGAAAAATCCTAACAGATGGTTCACAGTTGGTAGCATATACTGTAATAGCAGTTTATTGAAATACATGTGTAGAAAATAAGGTTTTCCCAAATAACACTCTGAAGGTAGAATCTCTCAATGATGCTGTCATTTTAAAAAAAAAAGAGAGTGTTAAGGTGTTCCAGAATATAAAGGTCACCATTGGGATGGCATGTTGTGGTCACTTTCCCTCACCTCACATGTGATGGGAACCCTTCCCTTCAAGAATGCACATGCCAAATCTATGGATATCTTCAAACAGGAAAAATAGAAGAACCAAAAGGGTTGCAGGGGGTTATCAATATCTGAAAAGATTCTAGATCAAATAAACACAGTTTCATCTCTAAGCCCTTGAAAACCACACAGTGATGGATTTATTAGCATGGATTTGTCAAAAAGAAATCTTGTCAGACTAATCTTATTTTATTTCTTTTAACTATTAACTTCTTAATGAAGTATGGGAATTGCTATAGTAACTTTCACATCTCAGAACATTAATGTAAGAGCCCCCTTGGCAATAAAATAATGGGAAAGGTGGAAATTACTTTAACAAATTCATATCTGAAAGTCCTGAAGAAAAATGTATAGCAACCTAAACATCTAGTGACATGCAGTTACTCTACACTGTATCCCTGACAGAAGGATGCAAAGACATAGGACTTACCATTGTAGCAGTGAATGGAATATTGTCAATTAGAGATGATGCCAATACAGAGACCCACAGAATTAAAATAATAGCTACTGTCAAACGTTGCTCTTCAGGGACCACCTGGCAGGCAGGCAGGACAGAAAGGATGGATTAAATAGATGGCCTTTTTCATGAAAGCAATTATTTTGCAACTAAGACTGTTACTGATTTATCCTGCTGTAACTCATGTGAAAATTCTGCAGATTTGTATATAAGTCAATGTTAGATAGGTCAACTTTATTTCACCTTTGAGCAGTACAGTAGAAGCCATTGTTTTAAATGTTTTGCTTTAAAAACTCAAATTCAAATATGTACATAAAAATATCACAATTATCTGATTCAGTGGAAATAAGAAAAAGACACAGAAATATAAAAGTACATGGGAATTACATTCTGTGTTCCAACTGTATGCCAAATAGGTTTTATTTGGGGGGAGGGGGGATTAGTCCAAAATTTAGAGGGCCCTTTTCTCAGTTATAGCTTTTTATTATATAACCAACTTAATGGCTAATTATATATTGTACATCACATATACAACAATATACTTAAACATATCAAAAATCATCATTATTTTTTAAAAAATTGCCCCAAGATTCCAAATAAGCCACATAGATGTTCTTGGAACATCAAAATCATTGGGGGGGGGGCTGTGGCCGAGGGCTTGATTTATAATTGTGGCTATCTGCCTCCTCAAAAAAGAAAAATCAGCCACTCTTCAAGGGAATCATTATTATCAGTAAAGAAGCAAAAGTACCATCTTTTTTTCTTATAAACTGCTATTCTGCAGCTGTTGTGTACTGTTGCAGCTACTTTATGAATTATTTTTAATAAATTTTTAAAAGCTCATAATGTGTTTTCCACATTAAATATATTCACAGGTCCAAAGGAGTTGAAGAGGTTTTCCTATAACCGACGATCTAAGTTTGATTCCTTTTCCTGATGGCAACAGTAGCCTGAGAATAATAATATCCAGATCCAGCACTGAGACTTTAAAAAAAAAATCCACAATTCCCAAATCTAACAATTCATCTAAGAGAAAAACCCCAGGATTCCACTGCATGGCTTGCATTTGAATCTAGGACTGTATCTTTAACAACAGGACATAATCATGAATATAGTACCATAAATATGAAAAAAATACAATGTACCCTTTTTAAATTTAAAAAATGTATTGCAAACTGTACCTTTATCAACAAAGCTGTTTGTTCTCCTATGTATTCTATTAAATGAAGATGAGCCAAAGCCTATTTTTTAAAAAAAAGGAAATAAAGAAATGAAATAAAGTCAATAAATAAAACATGCATTCTAAATTATTAGGCAAATTTTCCCACTTGCAAGAAATTACTAATCCAACAAGTTATTAAAAACACTGGTTACACATTTAACAAAAAAATAGTAAATTGGAACTGGGATTCTCTCCCCCCACTTCCCCCAGTAATTAAAACAAACAGATTTGTTTTTCCCTCAAGAAAGACTGGTGTAATTTTTCAGTTAATATGGATTCTCAAGCAGATGTTTATTGCTCAGAAGTGTTTACAGGAATTTAGGAATGATATTCTAGCCATGTTAAGAAGACTGAGGTCAGTAGCAAAGAATACAATTTTTATACCAAACGCTCTAGTTTTATTGCTCTGAACAAAAGTCTAGAAAACAGATTCCATGAAATGTAGACAGTCCTTGATGAGATGGACCAACAGTGGCTTAGCATTAGGTAATATGTAGGTATTGAATTAAAATTGCAAAAACAAATTAGAAAAAGATTATTTGGAGCTAACTGTCTGAAACTCTGCAGAGCCTGACTATGTTCTAAGAGGAATTTCTCAGGAAGGTAGATGTAGATCTGATTGTGATCTTCATACATTATAAATAGCTGATATATAATTAAAAGGAGGGATGTTGTTGACTATGATCCTGTACATTTACATGTTGAAAATGACAGATGAATAAAGTACAAAGTCTTCTCATGAGCTTCATCTAAGTGTAAACATTTCATAAGTCTCAGCTCTGGAACTGTTTCATAGAAGCCTCTATAAATACTTTCAGACATCCCCACTCAAAATTCTACCAACAGGTGAGACTGAAGAGACATGCTACGTTGACCACTAACTTAGCTGGCTTCAAAAACGGGTTGGACCAATTCATCAAAGGCCTGGGAATCAGAGGTGGTATTCAGCAGGTTCTGACCAGTTCTGGAGAACTGGTAGCGGAAATTTTGAGTAGTCTGGAGAACCGGCAAATACCACCTCTGACTGGAAATTTTACAATATCCTTCCCCTGCCGTGCCACCAAGCCACACCCACAGAACCGGTAGTAAAAAAAAAAAATTGAATCCCACCACTGATGGGAATCAATGGCTATTAGCCTGGTTGGCAATATGGCTGCCTTTGAAAGTCATATTATGGGAGATTAGTGACGTCCTTAAATTGGTCAACCACTGCGAGAACAGATTGTGGAACTATTTATGGGATAGTCGAAGTGGGCTAGGGAAGTCACACAGTCAAATCAGAGTCAAAATATGTTCATGACACTCAGTCCTGGCTTGAAGCTATATATAAATAACTTTTACAAAGGAATCTGGTTACAATGACTCATATTCAATCAAGTGAACTGAATATATGAAGCTGGCCTAACTGAAGCCATTTTGTCCGCTTCAGTGTTGCCACACTGGAGCTGAAGAATAGGGAGGGAGGGATTTGAGATAGAGGGAATTCTGTAACCAAAAAAAAAAAACCTTTCTCTTGGGAACCAAGGACCTTCTCACACCTGGTTGGAAGAAGGCAGAGTGATGCCACCCAGTTGTCAGACTGCTTGGACAATGATTGGATCATGTGACTGATTGTTTTGAAAAAGTAGAAAATCTTTTATTTTTAATTAGGTAAAAACCGTGGGAGATTTCAGAGTCAGTTTTCGCCAGATATGTGCCAATATGATATTTCCAATAAAAGTACTATTTGATGAGTTCAATTGCCTCAGATTCTTGCTTGCCATGGATCTATTATTTGGAACCCTGACAATATATTTAATATCTGAATAATGGCAGAAGGAGAAGATTATTGCTGTTACTCTCTTTTCATCCTATGAGGAAAGTCTGTCCTAGAATTTTGAATTAGAAACTTTATTTACAGTAAGATTAAATCCTTCATCATCTCTGAACTTAATTATTTGCTTGCAGATGTTTCATTACCCAACTAGGTAGCATCATCGCTGCTCAGTTCGACCCTGAGCTATATATATTCTTTTCTATTAAAACAGTAAGACCTAAAACAGCTGAACTGAGGACTAAATAAATGAGAAATGAGACTGTTGAAATGGCTTAATCCAGGAAATAATAAAGTCCAGAACACCTTTGAGCATTTATTACTACCATCCCAATTTATATTGTTCCCAATACAAGCAATTAAGTCACAATATGTAACCCAGCTACAAAAAATTATACAGATTAGTAGATTTGACATTATATTAGAACATGCTGCTCTTTAAATCATCCTTAATCAAAAGATAGTGATGCAAAATTTTATTCCTATTTAGATTTAAATTTCAAGTTTCACAAATCAGATCCCCTGAAGCAAATACATTGCTTTACTGCTTGGACTCTTGATATTTTTACCAGAAAATAGCATGCAATTCTGATTCTGAAGCTATCTTAGACAGTTCTGCTTAACCAAATCTATTTCTTGAAGTATTGTGAAAAATTAAACTATATTTTACTTATAATTTCCCTGCCTTGGCCTTATTCAAGAGGAACTATATTCTCTCCAGTTTTTTGAAAAAATTAAAATAAATATACAAGTCTTTAAACAGTGTTTCATGGCAAAAAATACCATAGAATTAAACGTTATTTCTTCAAATAGTCTGCAGTTTGTAAGTCATTAACCAACTAATCTTAAATATTCCTTTACAAATTTCTATGCTTTTTGAAAGAAATTTTCTTCTTTACTATATTCCAATTCATTTCAGGCAGCATACCCAGTTCAGGTAATCCCATAGACAAAATTTAGCAACTCTGCAAAACCTTTGGTCAAATTTCTGCTAGGTAGAAATTAATGATCAGTATCCAAAATCTGCTTATTTATTTTGGATTAGATTTCCATGTGTGTGATGATGCGGGGCATGGCACAAAGGCAACACAGTCAAATAAGCAATAAGAGTCCCTTTATTATCTCCAACTTTGCCCCCAATGTCCAGGTTACCTTCAGCTGGAGAAAACTCTCCCAGGAACAGCCTTTAAGTGAAGGAAAGTCAGTCCAAAAACAAAGTACATACAAACTGTAACTAAAAATCCACACAAACCATGCTGCAGTAATTAACTTGACAGGACAGGAGAAGGAATTGCAGACTTGAAAGCACAGCAGAACACACACAGTTGGGAAGATGCCAGGAACACAGATAAGCTACCACATACCAGATAATTCAGTTTGCTCCCAACAACTTGCTGTGCTAAACTTCCCTTATTAAACACTGTTCCCAGCTGCAGCTAATGAAGGGAATCAGGGCTCTTTCCTCCCCCATAAGCCACACAACTCATGTTGCTCCCTTCTCTGTTCCTCCCTGCATGCCCTAGGATGAAGAGGGGGTGGGCCTGGGTCTTCCTCTGAATTCACTTGCCCTGTCCTCTGCCCATCTGGATCGTGCCCTTCCCCAGTTTCTTCCACAGCCAATGGAGCCACACTCCCACTCCCTGTCAGCTGCTCGGCTTCCCACTTTGAATCAGATTCCAACAGGGACATGACAATGTGTCTCTTGCCAACTGCAGATGATAACTTTTGTCCATAGTCTTTCCTCTTTCTCCATTTTCTTCATGAAAATAATATTGATGGCCTTTCTTCTTCTCACAAGCAAATGGAGAATATTTTTTGATATTGCAGGTACTCCGATTTAATTCTTGGCATTTCAAAGATAGGCTTTCTTCATTGTACATATGATTATCTATCATAACTATGCAGGTCTACATTGCAAGGGGACCTATGGAGACCTTTCCAGTTTCTCTAAGTCACTCAATGCCTTTTGTATTCTTCAATACTCCAGGCTCTTGCACATAGTCAGATTTTTAGAAACTTATGAAAGGCTAACAAGATCAGAACCATCCTGAGCTCCAAAGGAAGAATGTTCCAGAAGGCTGGAGCTACAGCCAAGAAGATGCACCTCCTGGTCCCCTCCAGCCAACTTTCCTTGGCTGAGCTGGCCCACAGCATCCCATTTTATTGTAATGCACATAGCTGAAAAACTAATAAAATTACACTGCCACCTAAATGTGCATTGACAAGTCTAAAGCCCACAATGAGTTTCTTAGAATGTGTGGTCCAATTTCAACTATCTCTTGGGCTCAGATATGAAGAGAATAAACCAAAAATAATTCTTAAGTTTGTAATTGTCAAAATGTGATGTAAGTACTGCATACAAAGAACTGTGCCTCCATCCAGAAGTAAAAAGGAAAAGTATTTAAATCACATGTGTCTACTGCTATATACAAAAATCATCTAAAAATAATCTCTGCTTCTACTGTAGCAGTTCCAGTCTTTTAAAGTTTGCTTCTATGTTTCCCTGTGATGGGAAGAGATAAACTTCAGCGAGGCATGGCAATAAAAACAACAGAACAGTTGGAGCTATAAGTTTTGCAGAGAAACAATTTGGGTAAAAGTCATTAGTGTAGCTCAGCTGGTTAGAGAAGCTGAGAGTGGCATACTCAAAATTCCAGAAGAAAATTAGGCTTGAAGAGCCAATGCACCTGCAAGATTTACTCAACTATGATTGGGGCTACATTCTGAGTTTATTTTTTCATGCTGTTATCCCACCTGAAAAAAAACAAAACCTTATGAGTACCTCTACCTGAATAGTTACATTTATCTTGATTAACTTAGTTGGATGTGCATATGGGGTTCTTCCTTGTGTGTAGGATTTCTGACTTGGCACTATGTAAAAATCATTTCTGCATCCTAAAATTATTGCTAGTTATTCCACTGTTACTTATATTCAGAAGTTTGCCCTTTCCAGGATTTTTGATTGAACTGAGGACAAATGACACCTAGAATTGCACCTGTTTTACTACAACCACACAGGAATTTTTAAAAAAACAATTTCAGCGCTCCAATGCTGCTAACTTTGTGAGTTCAGAGAGATCTGGAGTGTCTTTCAAATTAACATAGTAACTTCTTTCTTCATTCATTTCATAGAAGTGCCTTTACCCTGGTTGTTGTGATCCTATCAGTTCAAGAGCTTAATTCATTTAGCAGGAAAACAAGTTGGGAGAAGTACAATTTACTATATACAATGTACATACACTGTAAAAACTCACATTATATTTATCTGTTTCTCTGTTTGCACCTTCAGGTTAGCCCAAACAGTGCAATATAGCTATTTTTGAATTGAGGAACATAAATTTTGCTAATTTATAGGATGTGTTTTTAAAAAATCCAGGCTGTAGTACTCCCCACCAGAAAGCAAAGCAAAGTCCATGGAGAAACTGTCAGGGAGTCAGAAGTAGCTCTTATTCCCACTGCTTTTTTTGGCCCACCCATGGTCAATCTGTTTAGGTAAGTAAATATTGATTTATTATTGAAATTCATCTGCCACAACAATTTTTCTATTTATAATATATACTCTTCTTTGATTATCATAAGACTGTCCAACATTGGGGTAAGAAAATATGGTCAACTCAAAATGTAATGTACATTCTGCTCACATTAGACTGTACTACTTTTCTTTCAAAGAATGTGTCAAAGGGTTATCTACTTACTATCTAAAGAGTTTTATAAAGAGCAGCGGTGCTTATTCTTTACAATGATCGAAACATTGTGGCATGACTTATACTAATTTATTTGTACAAGTTTGTACAAATAAATGTGTACAAATCCCATAGGAAAGCATAGGTCACACAATGTATTTTTCCATATAGTTACCTTACTCTATCCATCAGCAGAAGAATTTTCTAGGCTAGATGATATAACACTGGATGAAAGTATTCATTCTTTCTCTTTCTAAGATTCTTAAACCTAGCTAAATTCTACATCTTATTTGCCTCTCTGTAAGCCTCACTGAATTTGCTTTTGATTACACAGATAAAACACTGAAATGGGAAACACAGCACCCAGGAGAAATGCAGATGAAGATTTCCTTAATTCACTGAACTCAAAGTAAAAAAGCTCGCTATTTGGGATACAACTGAAAGACAAATCTTAGCACTCATTTTGGATTTACCAGATCTTCCCTTGCATGAGGTTACTTTCTGTAATATGAATAGTCAGTCTTCACTTCTGTCAAGGAGTAAAGCCCTATCCTTAAATTTTTCATTTTTAATGTGGGCCAATGTGCTCACAGTAAAAAATGACAATAAAAGGTTATCTTATCTAATCTTAATCTTAAAGATCCCAATGCTCTGTATATCAGGATTTCCTCTTCAGTACTGAGAGTAGATAGTAATAATTACAAGTATCTGGAGAATAATTTCCAAATGCTACTTTTCCTTCTTTTAATTCACACAATTTTGGAATGAAGAGATAGATCACTTTGCTTCAGGCTGAGAGCTATGCGATTTTGGGGTAGCATTCTGGGACCTGTGCTCAAAAATATAGCAAGCCAAAAGAAAAGGTGGTTGGGGCGAGCGTGACAATGAAATTAATTTTATCACCTTAATTAAATTTAATTAATATGTTTATTTCCCATGCATTTCATATATTCGCCCTTTGAAAGATTCAGTCACATTTGATACAACTTTTGCAGGAGGCCCACAGAGTGCATTGGAAATATACTGAGGTCACATGAAAGGTTACATATCTTGAGTATTATAGAATCTCAAACCAAATCAGAACTAATCCTGAAAAATTAACGTGAATTTAATTTAATTTGCACCCAGCACACAATCAAAGCACTCAATCCTTATATCCTGATTAGATCAAGCACACAGGCCACTCAGTATAACTAGCAAAATTATAACTATTAAACTCAAAATATTTAACAGACAAAATGAGAGAGAAAGCATGAACAACAGGCAAGCATTACATCAACGGTTTCTCAAAAGACATCATAGTATCATTGGATATTCCCAAAGGAAATGGCCCCTGGTTATGCCAGCCTGAATCTTTTTACATATATAACAGGAAAAGCAGTACATAAGGTGATCCTTCCTCTATGCTTCACCATATAGGAAACATATAGGATGGGATGACAGATTTCATCTCTCTGTATTTGCAAAATAGTTCTTTAAACTCTTTTATCCACAGCATATTTATAGAAAGAGCTCCTAATTCATATGTCTTGACCAGAAACATTTAGTCCATACCTGAAAATTCCAGCCACAGAATAAATATCAGAACACAGAAATTGTGCAGTAATAAAACTGCCTTTTTTACAAGACTAACTTCACATGATAATTGTAAATTAATCATTCTGCATGAGAAGAGCAATCTATATTTCACTTGATTGAAAACCAACTCGAGAAAGTAAAAATGAAATTCTTCACCAAGATTTTAAACAGTCTTTAAAATGTCTTTATCTTACCTCCATTAAAACAAATAATGCTGCAAAGAAAAGGAGGGTCGCCCATTCCACTCTGTTCAGAATCATTTCAAAATCATGAATGTTGGCTAGAACAAGAAGCCACAGAGCTCCTAACATAGCAATCCATCCTACATAAAAAGAGAAAAAAGTTCGCATGAATTTCACTGAATCCATTTTAACCCACTATATGCAAATCTACAGTTCACATACCCTTTGGGTACAGCAATATTAAAAACATATTTATACTGTAGAATAGCACATAATTATGGTTAAGCTTGCAACTTATTTTCCCCCAGGGTATAGCTTATGTGCCTTTAATATGGATCTTCTCTAATATCATTATTTCCATATTCTACTTTCTTTCATATCCTATAAAGGATAATATCCAGGATTTTTTTTTAAAAAATCTGGTTATAAACTAGTTGTAAATTTGCAGTGTAACCCAATTCTTTGTTTCTTCCTGATGCGAATCCAACACTGAGAATTCAAAACAAGGCCATACTAAAAAAAAAAAATCAGGCTTGACTATGACTATTAATCTGGTATTCTAATTTTTAAAAAATATATCTTGACCCAGAAATATTTAGTCCTGAAAATTCCAGCTGTGCAAAAAAAATCACAACACAGAAGTTGTGCAATAATACAACTTGCCTTTACTACAAGACTAACTTTACATGAGGATTGTAAATTAATCATCCTGCATGAGAAGAGCAATCTATATTTCACTCCCATTTTTACCATATGAATTTAGAAAAAAACATGTAAAAGGAAATGCTGAGATTAAGTTTTTCTAAATTTCCTTCAAAGGGGGCAAGGTATATGTTTCCAAATGGATTCCATCCTGAGTTGAATAACAAAATAACAAAATATCTCTCCACAGCTATTGGCAATGTTTGTTTCTATGGACCATACCCAATTCTGTGTTCTTCAGTTACCATTCTGGGTTAGAAAAAGAGGAATTCTACAACCAGAATATTATACCTTAGGAATTTGTATATACTAAACTTATTCAAAGGACACATATTGTGTGTTATAAAAGTGGTTCCTATGTTTTTTTATTCTTGTTTATGTTAAGACATTGCAGATTCTTTATTTATCTATTGGGGAAATATTAATGGGACATTTCTTCAAATATTATGTAAATAACAACTAAAGCTGAATTTCTCAAAGAAAATATTCAGACAGTATACTACAAAAGAATAAAATCCGGATGCAAAGAAACAAAAGAATATAATAGCAGCTACAGCCTTTCAAGATAACCTTTAAGCCTCCTTAGTGTATTCATTCCTCTTTGAATGTAATCAAAACTGAGTTTAAAAATCCAGCTAAAACTGAATAGTTATCTATCATATGAAACAAACATTTTAAATGAAAATATTCAATACAAGCTCCTAGTAATGTATTAAAATCAATGATACTTTCCACAAAATCATAATGTACTTGGCATACAACAAATATAAATAAAAGTAACATGGTTACTGGCAGGGACAATTTGGGTATTTTTAAAGGGAATACAGTGCAATGGGACAGTCATGTTCCAATAATTGGCATAAAAATTAAATAATATGCACAGAACCCAAAGGAAAGTCCTAAAATAGGCACTTTTTTCCAGATGTACTGGATTCAACTTCATCATTCAACAATGATAGATAATCATTGATAATCAGAGCGGAATGGAGCTCATTAAATGGCTCGTGTAATCTGCTGTGGTCGTGGCAGGGAGTGGGAGTTGGGGGGGGTGATTTTGTTATATTGTACTTTATTAATTTATTTGATTCTTTTCATTAGCTTTTATTGTTTTAAATGTGGTTTTATATTCTGTAAGCCACCTCGAGTCGCCATGGGCAAATAGGCAGCAATATAAATTCAATAAATAAATAAATAATGTGTTGGCTGGAAGATTATGTATGTTGAAGTCCAACTCATTTGCAAAGTAGCAAGTTGTGGAAGGTTGTCCTGGAAGGAAGTGCAGTCCATATTGTAGTGATTGAAATGTTACATGGATGAGTATTTTGAGGAAACTGCTAAAGGTGACAATCTAGAAACTTGGAATAATCACCACCACCTATAGATAAATCCAACTCTTCTGATCAATAACAACTTCTGTACCTAGTGACCCAAGGTCTGGCATTATTTTTCTGGATTGGACAAATGATGTCACTACCTTGGACACATTATTTATCTTTACCACATCAGCTAAAACCCCAACAACACAAGAATATCCATTTTTTGTTGGATAAGACAGAGTTATGCACACAAATGCCTGCATACCAGGCAGACAACCAGGGGTGATATGCAAATATTTTTACAACCAGTTCTGTGGGCATGGCTAGATGGGCATGGCTAGGTGGACATGGCCTTGTGACTGAGTGGGCATGGCTTCTTCTTTTCTTTTCTTGTTTGCAGCACCTCCCTTCGTGCTCCATTTTTTGGCCTCCTGGGCCTCAGGGAAGCCTTCTGAGGGGTATTTTTGCTCCCAGGAAGCTTCCCTTAGGCCCAGAAGGCCAAAACCGGAACATGGGGGACATGCAGCACACACCCCTGCAGCCTTTTTTGCCTCCTGGGCCTCAGGGAAGCCTCCTGGGTGAAGCAATAAGACAGTGAGGGGGAACCCAGCACAGTTGATCGTCGGAACAGCTGATCGTTGGGAGGAAAAAAATAGAAATATCTTAAGGAGTGACTGGACGGGGGAGAATGCAGTCAGCATTGTCGTGCATGCGTGCAATGCTGTGCATGCAACTGGGCAGAGAGGGGAGGGGTTGGAGAGGGGAGGGGCCAGCCAGGGACACGATTTAATGGTTCTCTGAACTGCACAGAATTGTAACAACTGGTTCTATAGAACTGGTCCAAACTGGTAGAATCCCACTCCTGAAGACAACCCAACATAAAGGGTCTGTTTTATAGATAGTTGAATTAAACTCCTTTTCACAAGAGAGACCCAATGATAATTGTAGTGATCATCAGTTCTTCATTTTTAAGTCTACCTGTAAAGACTATTGCTGCATTTTGAAGCAACAGAATCAGAGTCATGTCTGTAAAAGAAAAAGTTTTCCAAAATATAACAGAAAATATAACATTCCAGTCTTAAGTAAAGAATCAGTCTACTGCCCAGGAATCTATAAACAAGGGGATTACAGAGATCTCTGCCTTAATAAACTCACCAATTAATGAGAACTGTTTATCCAGTTTCTAAGACTTTGTAAAATAACTCCATTTTCTGACATAATTAATAAGAAAATGTGAATTTAGCTTCTACGGTCATAAAAACCCTCTCCTCTACTCATTTTATACCTGAATCAAAGTAAGTTCCAAAAGGACAAGTAAAACATGATATTTCATCCATCATCTTGCTGAGTTTGGAGTGTTCCTTGTCATAGATGCCACTACCAGAATCAATTCTCCAAGATATTAAACAAAGATACACTGCAGATAAAATACTTAGTTCTGAGCACCTTTATTTAAACAGCATTTTTTTAAATAATGCCATAAATTATCTGTTGGCCTCTATGTGTTGTTTCTATGACATCGCCCTTTTAAATATAAATACCTTTTCTGGAATGAAGTTGGAAAATGATTTCAGTAATAGATCAAAAATAAAAAGAGTATGTAAGTCAACCTTACCTGTTCAAAATATTGGGGAGGGGGTTGAAATAAACCCTTCCAAGTTATGATAGTTGTATACACGAAATCTTCATCAAATATTCTTTAAAAGCTTTTATTGATCCTTATTAAAAGGAGACAGGGCTTTTTGCGAATGAATGTATTCAGTATTCAGTTTTTGCGAATCAATTCAGTATTCATACACAACATTATACAACAAGTGATACACTTTCTTTAATATTTTGTGGGCTATGGCTCTATATATCCATGCTTATTCTTGGACTTAATAATCAAGTAATCTAGCAGAATGGATATGTAGGATTCAACTTTAAAATACAGGTAGTCCTCAAGTTACAACTATAATTGAGCCTAAAATTTATGCTGTTAAGCGACGCATTTATTAAGTGAGTTTGCTTCATTTTATGACCTTTCTTGCCACCGTTAAGTGAACCAATGTAGTTGTTTAGTTAATAACATGGTTAAGTGAAACTGGTTTCCCCATTGACTTTGCTTGTCAGAAGGTCGCAAAAGGTGACCACATCACTCTGGCACACTACAGCCCTCATAAATATAAAACAGCTGCCAAGCGTCTGAATTTGGATCATGTGACCATGGGGATGCTACAATAGTCTTAAGTGTGAAAAACAGTCATACGTCACTTTTTTCAGTGGTATTATAACTTTGTATGGTCACTAAATGAACTGTTATAACTGAATGATCAGTGTGATTTTTAAAATCCTATTTAGTAAAGGGAAGTGGGTCGGTTTTTAAATGAGGTGTAGAACAAGATGCAATAATTCTTAACTTTGTTTTCCTGTGACTGTCTATTTTGCTACATTGTCCTTATAGTAATTAGGACCTTCACTGTAAAATATAATTGCTTCTGCTTGCAGGCACAGTTAAATAAAACATGGTGTCAACAGGTTGTAAGGTTATACTGCTACACAACAGACTATGTTTACCCATGAGATCATTGAAAAGTGCAACACAAGGTTTTTCTGTACAGACTTTGCACTCTGAAATCTTCTAAAATATTATTTTTCCCTATGGGGGGGAAAGGACTAAAATAGCTTTAGAAAGGCAAAATACGGAGGAAAACATTTTCATACTAAGCTCAGGGTGGAATTCAAATCTCAGCAATCTAATTCAAACAAGGTTTTCAAGAAGAATAACAAATTTCAAATAACATATAGATTTGCTTACCAATTATCTATCCCCCTCAAACTCCCACCCATCTCTCTGAACCTCCTGAACTGAAATCTCAGACTCCAAATTTTCTTTTGCCTACTCATCCAGAAACAACGAAAAAATAGTGAAAAAATAATGAAAAAATAGAAAACAAGGACAGTAAGAGTTAGCACCTGAAACAACTAATTGCTCAGATCTTTACCTGTTTATTTATCATTATTAAGTATAATATGAGTTAAATATATTAAATAAGGATGCACAGTATCTCTGCTGAACATTTGTCTTTTGGGGAAATAAACAGGTTACTTGGGAAACTAACATCCTGATCAAACATGCATGC